CCTCGGCCAGTACATCCAGCGACAGCAGGGTCACCGAGGGGGCTATGGTGGCCGGGGGCGAGGCAGAGGCCGAGGTTCGGGAGCTCGCACGGACCAACCCTCTGGCTCCCAACAAAATGCCGGCGGCGTAGTGCAGGCCGAGATAAGCCAGGAGACAGGGACAGCCCCCTTACGGGGAGTGATTAACACAATCGCAGGTGGTTTCGTTGGGGGCGGCGCCAGCAGCTCGGCCCGAAAGAGGCACCTACGGAATGTCAATTGCATCCACTCTACCACCTCGGCCTCGCACCAAAGCTCATCGCCAATCTCCTTCTCTGACGAGGACTACGTGGGCATCATCCCCAACCAGGATGATCCTATGGTTATCATGGTAGAAGTCGCCAACTGGGAGGTACAGAAGACACTCATTGACCAAGGAAGTTCGGCCGACGTCCTGTACTGGCCGACGTTCCTCAGGCTAGACGTCCTCCATTCTCTCATCCAACCTCACACGGAGCCCATAGTCAGCTTCGCAGGAGAGCGAGTTCACACTCGCGGGTACGTAGACCTACTAACAACTTTCGGGGTACCTCCAGATACAAGAAGAATCATGGTCCCGTGATTCAGAATCACGGCCGTGATTTTCCCTGTAGCTCAGCATTTCCTCTTTAATTCTTAAATCTTGATCCTGATTAGAGAAAACACAACACATACCAAGAAAAGCATAAAATAGGAAAATGATATAAAAATTTATTAAAAACATGAAAGATATGCATGATTATGCTATGAATTCTTGTGAATTAAAGTGCTAAAATACGAGTAAAATACACAACATCACCAATTCAAAATCATCATCAATATGATTTTAAATGTAGTTTGAGTAAAACTTAACTAACTTATTATGTATAGTAATTTGGAATTAGATGAGTGTCTAGAAACCTTTGAACTTTAAAAGCATACACTATTTATCCTAAAACTCTAGTATCCAAAAAAATATGGTTGATGGGTTGTTATATAGCTAGTGAATAAATATGCTTCAAACACATACTCTCTGGTTGAGAAACTGAAGAGTATCCAGTTTAATTACTTTCACCATTCATGTGTATTTTTTATTTTATTTTAACTATCAAACGTTAAAATTAATGAACGATTGCCCTAACTAATACATTAAGGTAACCCGTTTAGGAAGAAAAAACTATTTTCGTACTGTTTTTCCTATTGATGACATTTCAAACTGAAATCAAGATCCGAAGACATCAGCAAAAGTATTGACTAAGTGAAGTCCGGTACTTGTAAGTTGTTTCATTCGACGTCATTGATCTTTATTAAATATTAAAAACAATTTTATTTTAAAATACTTTATTACATTGCTTGGAAACTTTTACTAGGATCTAGTAGTTTGACCCGTTAAAATTAATATACTACTATGAAGCTAGGCTGATTTCAACCCAAAGTGAAAGCACACTTGATTTGAAAGCAATATAATATTTGTATTTCTATACAGTGGCATGCAGTGCCTTCAAAGTAGCAATATTCGATCATAGTAAAAATGCACAAGTTAGTTTTCCTGTTTTGGTTTTTCAACATGCATGTAATCATACTTGGGAAAAGTGCAGCTAATGAGAGTTCTGATGTTAAGGGCATAATAGGAGTTATTATAGATAGCAGTTCTCGCATAGGCCAAGAGCATGCAGTGGCTATAAATCTGGCATTGGAAGACTTTTATCAAAAAAACAATCTGAGTTTCGCTCTGCATATAAGAAGCTCTCAAGGAGATCCTCTTTTGGCAGTTATTGCAGGTATATCTCTCGTATCATCTCTCTAACTTCAAAATCATGTAAACTATTGAGCCTAGGAAGGGTTACACTCTTGTCCCTTGGTTCCGACTAGAAGACTTGTTTCAAAACATAAAAAAAAAATCTCATATTTCTTAAGAATCAAGATTAAAAGTAATTTATGAGCACTCTCATCCCAAAAATAGAAGTGAGAAGAGAAAAAAATTAATTAATTAATTAAAGACTTAATTTCATATTTTTCTACCTATGTATTGTGATTTCACAAGTTTTTCCACCCAATTTTGGGATTTCCACATTTTGTTATCCAATTGTCAAAATTTTGTAATTTTGTCACCTATTTTTAGTTGATCATTTAGCTTTGATTATTAACATTACACGTTGACAAGTGGAGTAGTACATTAATTGTGAACATAACATATTATGTCATATCATCGTTTGTATATCAACTAACAAAGTAACAAAATGTCCAAAATTTTGAAAGTTTGGTGGCAAAGTGTATATTTGAAGATCATCTGAAAAATTTGCAAAATCATGAAACACAGATGAAAAAATAGCGATTAAGCTTAAAATAAATTATAAAAAAAGTCAAATAATATTGTCTCAAGTGTCACTCATTAATTTCCTTTTGAGAACTGCAACCTTTTTCGTTCTTACCAATTTCATCTATATGAAACAACAAAACATTGTCTAGACATGATTTTATCTTTGTTGTGTTCTTTTTACAATGGAATGTATTGTTTGGCAGCGAGGGATCTCATTAATAATCAAAAGGTGCAAGCAATCATTGGACCACAAACATGGGCTGAGACATCTTTAGTGGCTGAAGTCTGTAGCCAAAAGAGCATACCCCTCCTTTCTCTAGCAGATACAACTCCAGAATGGGCAATGCGGAAGTGGCACTTCCTGCTTCAATCCTCACCTAGCCAAATTATGCAGATGAAAGCTATAGCTGAGATTGTGAAGTCTTGGGAACTCTATAATGTTAGCATGATATATGAAGATGGAGACTCATCATTTACTGAAGTTTTATCTCAGCTCTCTGGAGCTCTTACAGAAGTTGGCACAAAATTAAACAATGTTCTAGCAATTGCACCTCTAGTTTCTTCTTCTCTGTTCCAACAACTTGAGAAGCTAAGAGAAGGACAGTGTAGAGTCTTCATTGTCCATTTGTCTTTTCCTTTGACCCAACACCTGTTTGAAACTGCAAAAAAAATGAAAATGATGGGGGAAGGTAATGTATGGATTACCACTAGTACCTTTACAAGCCTTGTTCATTCCTTGAATCCATCCTCTATCTCCAATCTAAAAGGGATCATTGGAGTGAAGAGCTATATGCCAAATCTATGGTACCAACATGTAAACATCTACCATAGATTTTGGAAAAAATTTTGCTCAGAGAATTTTGAAGAGTTTAATTGTGAGCCTGGGATCTTTGCAGCCCAGGCTTATGATGTTGCATGGATTGTGGTTCAGGCAATGAGAGAAACCAACCAAGGACAGGGTCAAGTATTACTAGATAAGATTTTACTAAGTAATTTTACTGGCTTAAGTGGAAAAATTCAGTTCACTGACCATAAAATACCTCCAGCACATACTTATCAAATCATTTATGTGATTGGAAGGAGCTACAAGGAAATTGGGTTCTGGTCATATGGGCTTGGTTTCTCAAAATCTTTGGATCAAAATGCTTTTTACAATTCTTCGGTAAAGGAATTAGGAAATGAAGTTAATCCAACTTGTGTCATATGACTAAGAATTGCTGTCCCCTCCATATCAAACTACAAACAGTATGTCAATGTTATTGAAGACCGTTCTAAAAATGTTACATCCTTCAATGGATTTTCCCTAAAGCTTTTCGATGAAACAGTAAAAAGGTTACCATACCATCTAGAATATGATTATTTTGCCTCTAATGACACATATGATGACCTGGTGAAGCAAGTATATTGGAAGGTAAATGTTTTATTTATTACCATTGTATGTTGCAGCTCACTTCATTGTCGCTAATCATTGATAATAAACTGCTAAGAAAGAGAGATACTTTTAAATGATAACCAAGTCATGTTGCGATTGTGTCTTTGGTAGCTATTATATTCAATTTGAATACTTTTAGTTGCATTTTCATAATTTCTTTTGCTTTTATTCATTAAACTTTTATACCAATACAAGTTAGAATACCATAGGATTTAGATAAACTTCAATGTTTTGCTGTGCCTAAAATATCTCAATATTGTATATTGAATAATTGCAATATAACTCTGTCATGTCCTGTGATATTTAAAATTTATTGTATTCTCATGTTCCTGTTCTATCATATTTGCATCTAGTATACTAAACGCATTTGTGCTTAGGAAGACCTAGAAATACAGATTCGAAGCTCATTAGAATTTTTTTTCCTTTCATTTGTATTATGAGAATTATGCCAAAACATTAGAATTCATTAATACCAATTCTTATATTGAGAAACATTTTTCTCCTATTTTATTGATTTTCTTTCATCCATACTGGATACCCTTATTTGGTATACAACAAGATGAAAAATAATCTCGAATTGAGCTTTTACTCTGACAATTAATTTCAATATTTATCATTCTCAAGTTTATTTGATGTAAACTTTCTGGTTCTTGCCTAAGATAAAGTACGTGGTTGCTCCTAGAAACATTATTACTCTAATCACATTTTCTTTGACATCTAGAATGATCAATGCTTGATGCAGAAATATGATGCAGTTGTTGGTGATGTATCGATAGTGTCCGCACGTTATGAATATGCTTCATTCACTCAGCCCTATACTGATACAGGACTGGTGATGATTGTTCCTGTTAAATCAAAGACACGCAATAGAACATGGCTATTCCTGAAGCCTTTCACAATGCACATGTGGATTCTAATATTGGTCATCATTTTCTATAATGGCTTTGTTGTATGGTTGATTGAAAGAAACCACTGCCCTGAACTTAAGGGCCCTATTCTGCATCAAACCACAACGGTGCTGTGGTTGGCTTTCTGTTCTATGTTCTCTTTGAATGGTAACTTCATTATGCTTTATTCATCTATTTTATCCATCTAATTTCAATAACAACAGATCTCTAACTTCTATTATAACTTCAGTTGAGGTTTATGATGGTCTAGTTAATATTACTTGACAAAAACTAATATTTTCTTGAAGACTAGTTTTTGGAGGTGTTGATAATAGATTTACAAATATTATTTATGCTTAAAAGATGACTTATATTCTTTTAAGTTCTTTTTAACTTATTTTAAATTAGAATAAGTGTTTAATTAAGTTACATACCTAAATGTTGCCTTGATTCATATCATGTTGCCTCACACAAGTCATTTGAGCAAGGGATGATTGATTTGGGTAATCTCCGGAAAGTAATATAGGTTTAAACATCTGTGCCGCCATTTGATCCTGAAAGAAAATCATTTTAATTAAGAATACAGACAACAATAATCAAACTTCTAAAAATTTGGTGGTTGTGACTAACTAACAAGTAGCACCAGCAACTATCTCAGATAACATTACTTTGCATAATCTGCTGACACAGGGGGCAGGTTGCATAGCAATTTATCAAGGTTGGCAATGGTGGTCTGGCTTTTTGTGGCTCTAATCATTTCAGAGACTTACACTGCTAACCTTGCCAGCATGTTGACTGTTGAACAGTTTGAACCAACAGTTGACAGCCTTCAAAAGCTAAAGAAAAGCAATGCCACGGTAGGATGTGATACAGGATCCTACTGTGAAAGATATCTCCAAGATGCATTGGGCATGAATGCAAAAAACAACAAGCCATTTGATTCACAGGAGAGCTATGCTGATGCCCTAAAAAAGAAAGAAATAGCAGCTGTCTTCATTGATGTTCCTGGGTCCAAACTTTTCCTTGCAAAGCACTGTAAAGGGTTTGTTCAAGCAGGGCCTACATACAAGATTGGAGGATATGGATTTGTATTGCTTCAACATTTCTTTCACTTTTTTTTCCTTTATAAGTTTCTGAGTAATTGTATAGATTGAGGTACAACCAATCAAAAGGTTAAGATAAGCAGAATAATTTCAGCACAGAGATCAACACAAACTTTATTATTTTAGGACAATCTAGGTGCAATTTCTTAGGCCATTTTTGCATTGTTCTCCAATCATATTTAAAGTTTCACCTCAGTAAAATGTGTTTTGTTCTTCTTTTTTTTTTTTCCTAATATAATAAAGGTTTACACTAAAGATCAGCATAGGTTAGTGAGGTGAAATTCCCATTCTGATTGGAAAACACTACTAAAAGCATTTATGAAATTGCATCTAAACTTTGTCCATTGTTTTGATGTATCTTGAGTTTTTAATTGGTTGTACCTATAGGAATTTGTGTCATGAAAGAACTAGTCTTAATTTCTAGCCCCTCAACTTGAACCAAGTTTAATTTTACACAGTTGCAATGTCTTTGCAGGTATTTCCAAAGGGATCTCCGTTGCTTCATAGTGTAAACAGAGCACTACTGGACATATCTGAAGATGGCACCATACGTAATCTAGAGAACACTATGCTTGCATCAGAGGAATGTAAAGACATAAGTCACACGGATGGAGAAACTACTAGTGTTAGCCCTGCAAGCTTCATGGTGCTCTTCATCCTAACTGGAGGCACTTCAACAATTGCTCTCTTAAGCTACATATTTTCAGTGAATTGTTTATGAGCTGAACAGAGAACAATATGGAGTCTAATGATGGCTGTGATTAAACGTTGGCGATCTCGAAAGAGACTGTTTCCAAGAAAAGTCTACAATGTTGCAGAAAGTCCTTTAAACTCGTCCAACATTTTCAATTTGCCAGCTTTAGCTTAAACAAGATGGTTAAGTAGTATTGTGCAGCCAGGAGTAGGAGCACCAAATATACAGTCAACACTGATCTAACTACATAACTTTCAGTGCCTGCTCAGCAATTGAAATTGCTATTATGTTCCTACATACAAGGTTCTCCAAAGAACATTGTAAATCTTGTGACATTTACTGTTATCTCGTGTATAAATAACACAAAATTATTAACACTATATTAATGGGATTTGACTTGACAAAAGGCAAACATTTCTTTTCTATTTCTTCTGATTTCTTCTCAGAATAGTAAATGTTTTTGTATCTTCAAAAACAAAGGAAAGATTTTTAGTAAATGTTTTCCCTAGTGCTGAATATTTGCATGTAAGGCAGTTTCATTATTTCATCATTGATGGCATATGTAATATTGTATACAATTATATAAACATATATACGATTTGGTTTTTATCTTTATTGTATAAACACATCTAAAATTTACTACAAAGTTAACAGGGAAAACTTTTTGTTGTTCACAAAAAATATTCAAATAGAAAAATCTGACTAATATATTTGAGGAAAGCAACAACATTATACAACCTAATCCTAGTTTATGAACAAGGCTCTAGTAAACAGGTTTAGCTTGCTTTGCTTGTTGCCCTTACTGATAGAACGCTTGCTTATGGTGTGTGAAAGTGAGGAATAAAATGCAACAATTTAGGGTTTCTTTGATTCCCTTTCTCATTATACAATTTGTTTTTAATACAAATCCGCAACTAAAAACTCAAAAACAATTGGAAAATGTTTGTCATCTCTTCCTTTTGTTTCAAGTGTTCTGAGAGGAGAATTTTTTAAAAGACATAAATATACACAGGAATCAATCACTTTGAACTATACTCATAACACAAACAAATTTTGACTGATTGATCAATTTAGGGTAATTTTTAAAATTATTTAAATAAATAGGGTTATTTTCAAACTATTTATACCTTTGAGACTTTTTTGTACAGTGTCGCTATACGTGTCACGTGTATTTTTTGAAGTCATAAAAGCCATATTATGTAAATCGCTACAGCCGATAGCGACTCAAAATGGCTTCAATGAAATTATTGTAGCCTATAGCACCGGCCATTAAATATTTATTTATAAAATAATTTTTTAACAAATATAATTTAAAAAATAAAACTAAAAATATCTAAAATTATTAAACGAATAAAACAGAAATTTAAAATTAAAATATGAAAAAAAATTGATAATATAAAATGGAATAAAAGAAAATAATAATAAAAAAAATTTAAAAGGTGGTTGCTATGAATTTGGATCTTCTCATGCAATTTTCTCTCTCCAGCCTCTCTCCTGCAACATTAGCCATTAAATATATTTAATGGCTCAAATTTAATCTTATAATTAGTGTAACTTCCTAAATGATTAAACTTGAGCCATTAAATATATCTAATGGCTATTAATTTTGTAGGAGAGAGAAAATTGCAGGAGAGGATTCAAATTCGGTCAGTATGGCCTATAACGACACACTGTCGCTATGGCCTATAGTACCACTTATTAAATAATTTTTTATAAAATAATTTGTAACAATTTTAATAAAAAAATAAATTTAAAAGTATTTAAAATTATTATACGAATAAAATAGAAATTTAAAATTAAAATATGAAAAAAAAAATTGATAATATAAAATGGAATAAAAAAAATAATTTTTTTTAAAAGGTGGTCGTTATGGCTACTGTTCCTATGTCCTATAGCACCACTTATTAAATAATTTTTTATAAAATAATTTGTAAC